CTCCTAGGCCTGTTGACGTCTTGGAGGGTTACAGGAAGGATAAGAGGGGGCCTGTTGTGGGGGTCTATGAGCTCAACAGTTCGAGAGTCAACACAAGAGGAAATTTATTGAGGGTTCCGCTTGGTTTCTTGATTAGGAATGGTACATATCGAGTCGGCTTCTCAAATATCCTTGGTCGGGGAGAAGGGCTCTTGCGACGTGATCAGTTTGCCACTAGAAGGGAAGAGCAAATACAGATCTACCAGAGAGGAGGGATTAATAGTCCAAAACAGTGTTTTCTTGTGGGTGAGAATAGAGGCTGAAACCAGGGCCTGTATCAGGAGAGACAGGGAGGCGGCACCTTAACGAGCAGATGTGAGCGTGAGGCTGTACTTGTCAGGGAGAGAGTGGGAGTGTCTAGTGATAGATACTGCCAGGCGTTATCCAACCCTCCTCTATTTAGGAGCGTTAGGTCGGAGGTTTGGTGCCCGGATCTTTAGAGAGTTCGCTAAGGGGAGTGGAGCAGATACCGTTGCAGTCTACACTGTGAGGTTTGCATATGATTGGGAGTTTCCTAGAGCAACCTTTGTGAGGTCACAGACGGTCCGTAGGTTTTTGACGAGGCTGATTTTCGGTACCGGAGTGGTGCACCAGAGACTTTTAGAGGTAGTACAGAGGGTGGTCCGACCGGGGACGTCTACTGTCGAGCTTGCGTGGCTCCTTACTTATTGCTTGGATAGGCCTGTCCCCACTCGTAGAGTGCTACGCCATATTGTGTTTCGCATCCGGGAAGAGCTACGAGAGGCCGAGATAAGTGGAGAGGTAGATAGGGCCCGAATACTGAACGGAAGGGCGAACGACGCCTAGATGTCTCACTGTAGGGTCGAGTACCCGGTAGAATTGGGACAGCTCGGATACAGAGTGCCGGAATTTGTGGACGAAGATTGGGTAGAGTTTACATTACCAGGTAGATCGACTTTGGTAACAGGGGTCAGCAAAGTGGATAGCTCCTGGAGGTCAATACTGTTGCGGCCGGGCGTTTGGTTGTTGGTGGTGCCGCTTGTGGATTTCGATAAGGATAGACGAGGGAGAGTGGTTCAGGGATCGGTGGACTTGGCGGTTAAGGGTTTCCTCTACTGCCAAACGTCGGAACTCTCGGAAATCATTCGTAGGTCGGTCGAGCAAGGCACGCGCGATACGAACCTTGGGGTAATACCTAGTCTTGATCAGTATACGTGGGAGGACGAGACTCCTGCTATAGACGTACTTCGGGAGGTGGTGGAGAGATACCGGGAGAAGGAGCTCCGCCTAAGAGGAGCGTTTATATCAGTCAAGGTGTCCCTCCGTCTAGCCCAGGGAGGGTTTTTACCACATTCAGAGAAGGCATTGAGGCTCCCCATTCCGCTATTTGTCTTGGAGGAGTATCTTGGAGGGCTTGATCGGTTGATCCAGGTACACCTAAGTTTTCTAGAGATCCAAGACCTCCTGCACAGTGGTGACGAACACCACGGCTGTTACGCTCTATGGAAGGAGGGGCCCCGGTTTGGCAACGAAGGTCTAGAACTAGTTGAGCTGATTAGAGCAGCTTCACCTAGGAGCTTGAGGCGAGCACCTGACGAGGACCAACCGACTGAATTTTGGGCTACCTTGGAGAAGGGTATACGAGAGCCACCTAGTGATCTAGCAGGGTTGGCAGAGCTGTTTAGTGGGAGGGGGTTCGACCCATCGGTTAGAAAGACGTCTCTCCTGGGGTTCTTCGAGCTGCACTCGTATTATAGGCGAGTCGGGGACTGGGACGAGGACGAGGAAGAGGAGCATCAGGAGGAAGACTGACCTGAGGAGCCGTTATTCATAGACGAAGAGGGAATGTGGGAAGTGCAATGCCCACGGTTGGGGGCCTAAAGTGAGCATGGTAGGAAACTCTATGACGAGGGACGCGCAAGTCTGGAATGAGAAGGCGATAGAGGATGGGGAATGGCTGATTACTGCCCTATGGTTACGGCTGCCCTAGACGCCTTAGTTCCCTTTACTCGTGGGGGGGCCTTCCCTTACAAAATAGAGAGCTGTATATCTCTAGAAGAAAGTCATGCTCCGGGGAAAGCTTATGTCTTGGTAATAAAGCATCTCGACACGGGAGGATACGACATCCGCCCATACGTGTCTCTGCTAAGGGAGAGAGGGGCGGATCGCAAGTCTCGTAAGAACTGGATTAGAGACATAATTAGTAAGGAAAGGAGGGAATTAGAGAAGAAGAGGAAAGAGGTATTTAGTGACGAGACCCCCGTGTTGTTTTACGGAATACCCGAACCTAATCTACCTGACAGTCTTACTGATGACATGAGCTGGGAGCCTGTAATTAATATGGCACTCAGAGCGAGGAGTTAGGGTCAGTAAGGATGCCGAGTCTTAGGGAACAGTTCTCCTTCGGGGTCATAGTAGAAAGGAGAATGGTAAAGATTGAGGGCACCCTCCGAATTCCTAATAGAGCTCCTTTTGGGCTTGAAGAGCTTGAACTCATACAACCCTATCTGGATCGTATGAGGGAGTCGGCTTTGAGGGTAATTACGAATCAAACCGAGATCAGGTATCTACTGAAGGTGAAAAGACTAGGGACCTCCAGGAGGTAATACTATCGTCTGGTCAGGGAACGAGTCCGGTTGTATTAGGGAGACGTGGCAAAAATGTTGGACCATGAACGAGTAAGGCACAAGAAGTCTGCAGAGGAACTTGAGGAGTGGGATAACAAGATCATCGCTGGGAATCGACCGCCGCAGGAGAAGTTTGATTTGGTGTGTGCGTCCTTAAGCACCCTAGGAAGAAGAGAGGAATTTCCGTATGAGGTGGAAGCCTATGAGATGGTCGACAGTGCATGGGAACTAAGCCGCCTTTATGTTATGACCGCACGCTTCCTAGGAACTGAGGTCAGAGGCGTAGGCATTTACTTACCAACGGAGAGGTCAGAAGATTTAGTGTATGGACGTTGCTGGCAGAGAGCAATAGAAGTGGTAGAGGACGAGAAGGATAGGCTCCTTTCCTTAAGGAAATAAGTTGCTTGGAGTACCGAGATCGGGATCTTTGAAGACTTGCCTAGGCCGCGGATTCCTTACGAAGCATTGGTAGGCATCGGTGGAGGTCTAATAATTGATTTCATTAACCGGCACCATAACCCGAATGGCCAGAGGGAACGAGAATAGCCAGCCTGGGGGGGATATATCAAGTGAACTAAGACAGCGTGACCATGATAGGTGGAAGTCCCAAAAGCTGCTCAGACTTTTGACGGAATGGACTAAGGAGGACTTGCGTACTTTAGGCACGTCGATCTGTAGGAGAGCTCGATGTGATGAAATAGGGTTGATAGAGATTAAGACAGGAGCCTCTTGCCTACGAGATCAAGAAGGGGAACTCTACCTTGACACAGGCTTGTTTGAAGCAGAAGGTGAACGCGAGATAAGAGATGACAGAGGAAGATTGGTTGGAGTCGTGAGGGCAGTGAAGGATTAGTGCAAGGGAGACCAAAAGTACCAAGAGCAGGATTAGAAGCCATGCTAAGGGAGTTGACCAAGGATGAGGAGGTATAGGAGGCTAGATGAGAGGAAGTCGAGGAAGTTGGTCCGTTCCCTTAAATCTATATCGAAGAGAGGAGTGATCCTATATGAGATCGTGAGATACGAAGGTCTAAAGAGTCAGAAATGGGGGATTGATGGTATGTATGTCATCACCTACTACTTCATCAACCTTGATGAGTATGATGTGGGAATATACGTGCTGCAACATAGGTTTAAGGAAGACGAAAAAGGTCGATGTTGGCAACGGGCCTCGAACATAGTGCATGACGAGAAGAGAAGACTCCAACAATTAAGGGCGAATTTCTCATAGAGTACCTACGTTAGGCCTTTCATTGGAATACCATCGCCGCCAGTTGAAGGGCTTATGCTCGCTAACAATGAATGGTCAGCCGTAATAGACCTCGTATGGAAGGTGAAGAGGGCACAAGACGAACTCAACGATGCCAGGAACAGTGACTGAAGAGGAAGAGGTGAATCGAGTATCATTCGCTGGCAGAGTGACATCAGTCATTAGAATTCGGTCAACCTGGTCTCTAGATGAACAGGGTTGCAGACAACTTGCTCGAAGGGCAATTGAGAGGGAGAGACCTAGGGTTCTGGAGCTGGTGAGAGCAGAGAGAAGAATAACCTATGATGTGATGATTTGGTCACAAGGATGGCTGAGGTACAAAGTGGAGAAAGACGAGACAGTCCAAGAAGCAGAATCCCGCGTGTAAGAGAAAGTGACGAGAAGATTAATTCGCTGCTTGAAGCATACTCGGACCCAATGAACGATAAGATAGTGCAACTAGTAGACGGATATAAGGAGTGGAGCGGCTCGACGGATGTGCAAGAATTAAAGGCGTTCGAGCGAAGAGTAGAGAGATTGACCTTAATCTATAAGGAGGAAAGAGAAAGGATAATAAACTGGAGGGAGGAATTCCTGGCCAAGAGGATAAAGGAGATCCACAAAGAAAACGAAGAAAAGAGGAATGGCTAGTGGTGAAGGCGAGGCCAGGAAGTATCGACTAATCTGCGGAGCAAAAATTGAAGGATCCTTAGTGAGGGCAAGGGTAGAAGTTATACATAACGAGAGGTTGAGTCAGGAAGAAGAAGCTGAGGCGACCAGAAGAGCGATCAAAGAAGGTAGGATTTGTGCTATCTGGAAGGCAGTTGACGAGCTTCGAGTGACAAAAATCGAGATCTGTACGACACCGTTTGTAGGAGAAGGATTTTTCAGGGAGTGGAGAAAGACCATAGGAGAAACAAGGACCAGACTAAGGGAGGACGTTCGTGAGCCTGAGGAACTTTCTAGTGACGTGATTGACGTAGTTTCCCTTAGAACCTTGGAAGCTAACTCGCGGTATACAAAAGCCGTGCTGACCACCGCTTTAGTAATTAGGGCGGAAGGATGAGACACTGATTTCGAAGCGCTGTTGGAACTATTGGCCGACTCCACAGAAAGGATCCTAGCCGCGTTGAGAAGTGTGGCCGAAAGCTAGACAGAGTGTTCAAGGATTAGTTAGGAAAGATGGACGGAGAAGGAGCTTACCTAACCTCGATAGGAGGAGAAGTGAAAACAAAGGAATCAAGAACAAATAGCCCTGGCAGAAAAATGAGCATCGACGTCGACAACGACGCGGAAAGAATAAGGAGGGTCTTAATAGAGCTAGACACTCGTGTCAAGGAACCAGAGGGACGAAGCTCCAAGAGCGAAGGCTGGAGGAAAGAAGCTTTGAGAAGGACAAAGATGGCAAGGTTTGTCGATCCTGGGGTAAGAGAACCTCATAGAGAGGTCGCGAGCGAGCCTTACAGGAGGGGCCCTCATTCCATGGAGTATGCGCCAGGCACTTATGTGTCTCCCTTTCTAGGGGCGCCAGCGTTACAATCTCCCGGACTGGCTCGGATTCAGACAATATTTACAGGGAAGAATGTCACGGAATTCCTAGATGATTGGGAAGTGTTAGGAATGCGAGCAGAATGGAGTGATCAAGATATGATAGTGAACTTCCTCCACCATACGGCCCCAAAGATAGACCGTGAAGTGAGGGACGCTATCCCAGATAATTGGCGCTGGTTGACGTTCAGGGAGAGAGTTGCCAGAGTCTTCACATGTGACGAGACCTCTTACTCAATAGACGACTTAAAAGAGACGAAGAAGCAAGAAGACGAGAGTCTAGTGGCGTTTGCAAGGAGATACGAGAAGGCGTCTAATCCCCTGGTAGAAGGAGGGTTTATGGGGGAGATAGAGCGATGCGGAATATTCTTAGGGTTTTTATCTCGAGAGAAATGCGATAAGATCATGAGGGATCTCCCGTCCAAAGTGGTGTTCGGTCAAGTCAAGCTTTTAGTCCACGATAAAGAGGGGCAAAGCGTTAAAGCACACCTCGCAAGGATCCTCGACAAACTAGGAAAGGAAGTAACTGCGGACAATGAGGGAGGAAGACCTCAGTATGAGGATAGAAGATCCCGAATTGAAGGAAGAGAGGTCGGCACAGGCTCGCCTAGAAGGGGGGAGTCGATCAGAGGCGATTGCGATTGGAAGAAAGGAGGAAGAGGATATTGGAAGAGGAACGACGGAGAATGGGGGACTTCTTCCAAGTGGTCCAACATTAAAGATAGCCGGTGGAAGCCGAAGGAAGAGATAGAGGTTAGGAGGTCCGAAAGACGAGAGGAGGAGATGGTGAAGCAGATAGAAGTTCTGAAGGCGGCGGTGGAGAAGTTACAAAGTAGTAATCAAAGAAAGGAAGAGACCCCGACTCGAGCCGCACCCCGAACAGAGAATCGCGGGGACCCTAGTCCGAAGCGGACTTGGAATAGTAAGGTCTGTATCTACTGTGGGGATGAGGACCACCAAAAGAGAGACTGTCGTGCGATGATGGAAGCCCTGACGGAAGGCATCATCGAGTTAGATGATCGGAAGTATGTGATGTGGGCGGATGANGACCACCAAAAGAGAGACTGTCGTGCGATGATGGAAGCCCTGACGGAAGGCATCATCGAGTTAGATGATCGGAAGTATGTGATGTGGGCGGATGAGGGGAAGCCAGTGCCCTTCCTACCCTCGATGAAGATCAATGTAGATATCAGGAGGTGACGGATGAATGAGACGAAGGGAAAACAAGCACAAGAGTCAGCGGAAACAAAGGTTTTCCGAGTGACATTTGAGGAGGAACTTGAAGATCTACCAGAAAGTCATGGGATGAGGATCTCATCTATTAAGTTTGAAGATACAGAGGATAATGGTGAAGTTTACGTTTGTACTTAGGGTGTTGGCGAATCGAGTAAAGGAAAGAAAGAAGACCAAGATCAACCAATGGCGGACGAGCAAGTGGAGTCGCCTAAGTCACCTCAGTCCCCTAGAAAAAGAAAGGTCAAGAAGTTTCACTTGAAAAGTTAACTGGATGAGGTAGATTTGAGGGAGCCGTTAAGGAGGGCTATGGATATGCCCATTCCTATTACCTTGAAAGAATTCATAGCCAGTTGTGGACCAACGCGAGATGAGCTAATAGGAATGATGAAGAAGGTTAAGGTGCCACTAGCAGAGGCTGCGGCTTCAAGCGAGCCGAAGATAGAAACGAAGACATCTGTTCTAGCAACGGAAAAAAGGGGAGTAGAGCATATAAAAACCAATGATGGCGGAGGCGATTATTTCTATGTTCTTGGTAGCGGGAAGTTAAACGCAACCATCAATGGGATAAGGATGGAGGCCATAGTAGACGACGGGTCTGAGTCTACCGTCTGTGAGGATAAAGTGGCCCGAAAGCTGAGTCTAGAGGTGGACAGGAGTGTAGCTATGACCATGGTATCCGCCAACAAGCTAAAGCAGCCTGCGCTAGGGGTGTGTGATAAGGCCAAGGTCGTAGTCGCCGGGGTCGAGGCCACTGTGCTTGTATTTACAGTTGAACACTGCTCGTTGGAGCTAATCCTTGGACGAACGTGGCTGACACGTGTCAATGCCACCACCGAGAATAAGCGTGATGGGAGTCAAACGGTTACCATAGACGGGCCCGAGGGAAGTAGAGTCACTCTAAAAACTGTGAATGAATTTGACAAACGTCATAAGGTTTCCCTACAGAACAGGGGACTGTTAAAAACGAGGAGTTGTCAGATGATTCCCGAGGAAGTCACTCTTGGACCTCATAAAGCAAAAGGGGCGAAGATTGAAGTTGAGGACTTGGAGGGCAAGTACGTGGTCGATGGAATGACTTATGAGAAGGAGGTTGACGATGACGAGTTTGGTGGGTGCGTGAATCTATCTTTTTTGGAGGAATTCCCCCACACGGCGGGGGAAAGAGATATAAAACAGTAGCACAAAAAGTCAAGCCAGCCGCGGTCAGCCGTTATAGGACCGGGGAGATAGAAATCACTGAGGAGGAGATCACTCAGATGATTAGAGAGCGAAAAGCTACTGAAGGGCAAAAAATTACCGATGACAGGATAGACGGGATGGACATAGGTGACGGAAACATAACTAAAGAAGAGAGGGAGTTGATAATAGACACCTGAAGAGCATGCGACAAAGCAGTAGCCTTTTGTGACGCGGAGAGGGGAAGGATAGATCCCAGGTATGCTAAGCCAGCGAGAATCTATACGGTGCCGCACGTGCCGTGGAATGATGCTGGGTGGAAGTGCGCGCAAAAGGAGAAGGAGATGATAGTGGATTTCTTAAAGGAGAAGATAAGAACGTTCGTAGCAGAGCCATGCGAGAGCGCCTACGCCAACAGATGGTTTTTCATTCGGAAGTCGAATGGGAAGCTCTGATGGATACAAGACCTCCAGAAAACGAATAAGGTTACAGTTAGGGACGTCGGATCTATTCCGGACGCATATCTTCTCTCTGAGAGAGCTGCCGGACGTTCGATTTACTCGGTCTGCGACCTTTTTTCAGGCTACGATGAGATCCCGCTTGATTACCGGGATCGACACCTAACTGCAATGCATACGTCATTGGGGCTAATACAGATGATGGTAGTGCCTATGGGATGGACCAATGGCGTGGCGGTCTTTCAAAGAGCAATGGTGGCAGGTTTAGGAGAGCTTATACCGAATTTGGTAGAGGTCTTCCTGGATGATTTTCCAATCAAGGGACCCTATGAGAAGGACGAGACTGAGGTGAGGCCTGGGGTAAAGAAGTTCGTCGCTACTCACGCTGAAGATATTAAGAAGGTGCTAGTGAAGTTGGAGGATGCTAATCTAACCGTAAGCGGAACTAAGAGTAGGTGGGCAATGTCTTCTATAAAGATACTAGGCTATATCTGTGACAAGGATGGTAGGAGACCGGACCCCGCGAAGTTAGAGAAGCTTATGAACTGGACTACTTTGTTACGGCATATTACCGATATACGTCAGTTTCTGGGGGGTTTTGGGTTCTAGAAGAACTTCATAAAGGGCTATGCTGGAAAGGCCGGGCCGCTAAGGAAATTCTTACGCAAAGGAGCGGAATGGATTTGGACAAGTGAGCAAGAGGATATTGTCAGAGCCTTAAAGGATGAATTTAAAGAAGGGGAACAAGTTCTCGGTGTTCCTTACTTTGAGGACGAGGAGAAGCGACCGTTTGTAGTATGCACGGATGCGGGGCTTGCCTCCGTTGGGGGAGTCTTAGCTCAGAAAGACCAGGAGGGTTGTGAGAGACCTCTTAGATTCGAGAGTAAGACCTTAAACACCACTGAAAGGAACTACTCACTGTTTAAGAAAGAAGTTCTAGGGGTGTTACACTGCCTGAATGTCTTTCGTCATTACATTTATGGACGAAGATTTATGTTGAGGGTTGACCCAACAGCGGTGGCGGCCGTCCTACAGAAAGATTTTTCGTTGACAGACCCCACAATTACTAGATGGCTCATGCACATAAGAATGTTTGACTATGTTGTGGAACGAATATCGGGGGCTAAGAATTCAATAGCGGATGACTTATCGCGAATTTCGTTAGAAGAAGGGAACCTAGGATCGCCCGTAGGAGTTGACAAGTTTTTACAGATGGAGATAGACTCTCTAAGAGTAGAGACAAGTACGGCCAGGACTCCGGTGTTCCTTGAGAATCTCTATACGGGGAAATACCACCGGATAGGGCGGTATCTCATAGGTGAGGCGGAGTTGGATGACAAGGTTAGGAAGGAGGCTCAACAGTATTGCTTAAGGGCGGGTCACCTCTTTAAGAGGCCACCTAAGTATGGGATGCCTATGAGGGTCGTTTGTGACGAGGATGAGCAATGAAACATAATAGCAGAACTTCATGACGGCGTCGTTGGGGGATACAGAGGAGTGAAAGGAACCTTTGAGAAGGTTAGGAACCTTTATTGGTGGGATGGTCTATATAGGGATGTGGAAGCGTATTGTCTCACATGTGTTGAGTGTCAGAAAAGGGCTGTGGTTAAGTATAAGGAACCACTGCTTCCTTCGTATCCTACAACCGTAGGTCAAAAAGTTCACGTGGATTTAGTTAAGATGCCCAAAGGAGAAGGGGGAATGAATTATATCATGGACATTAGGGACGACTTGACCGGATTTGTAGAGGCATGGCCATTAAAGCAGAAAACGGGCAAGGTTGTTAGTGGATATCTAACGAAGTATATCACTCGGTATGGTTGTGTGGGGAAGATTGTTATGGATAGGGGGTCATAATTTATGGCCAAAGAAGTTCAGGAACTGCTCCAGAAGGCAGGGATACGGATATCGCTATCTACGGCATACCATCCTCAAACTAACGCTCCCGTAGAAAGAGGACATCAGTCTCTAGTGAATGCGCTCACCAAATGATGCGAAGGTAGGGAAAAGAAGTGGCCTAGGTATCTAAGATTCGCTGTCTGGGCGGATAATATTACCGTTCGATCAACTTCGGGATATCCACCCTACACCTTGTGGTTTGGCAGACACTGCCCCTTACCAATAGAATTCCATATCGATTCTTGGCAGAAGATTGACCGGGAGGAAGTCTCGACTAGCGAACAGTGGTTGGCCGCTCGAGTCAAACAAATAGCCGAGACTCTTGAGGATAGCACCCTGGATGCCACGGAAAAGCTAAAGATTCAGAGGGAAAAGGAGAAGGAGAGATGGGATAAGCACATCCGAGTCAGACAAGAAGGGATACCCGAAGGAAGTCTAGTCTTGCTTTACGATTCTTCGTTAGAGAGGACTTGGATAGGGAAGTTAGCGAACCGATGGATGGGGCCTTATCGCATGGTAAAGAGGCTGGAAGGTGGAGCCTATCTGATAGAGGAACTAGATGGGGCTAGGTGGGCGGAACCAGTATCAGGTGCTCGCTTAAAAGTCTTTAAGGAACGAAAGGAGCCTACTTTGCATCTGCGGAAGGATAAAGAGAAAGAATAAGTCGACAAGCGGCTAGAAGGACGTCTGGAGAAGCACGAAGCAGACCCTACCAGGGTGGTCACTCATGAGACAGGAAAATCCTCTAAGATGTCTCCAAGAAAGGGGAAAGAGTAGGTCCTAGGGGTCAAGGGTAGACAATGGAAAGGCACGAAGAAGAAGAAGTGCGAAGTCGTTGAGTCGGCCGGATTGAGGAAGGACAATAAGCGAAAGGGCAAGGAGACTATTAAGGCCATACTGGTAGTGGATAAGACAGAGAGTCAGCGCCGCTATAAGAACAGGCAGCGGAGGTCCACCAACCGATTAAGGGTCAAAAAGAGATTAGTTAAGAAGAAACAAAGAAAGAAGAAAAAGCAACAAAAAGAGACTCGGTGAGGAAAAAGAAGACAATCTTGGGTTGATGGGTAGAGATTAGGAGTCAACTTTTCTCCTCCCTTTTCCTGGATATACCTAGATCGCTCGCCGGGGACGTCGAGAATGGGGGGGGCGGCTGCTGTCGGGCGGCTACAATAATACGCAGCCCTTTACTTCCTTTCGGAGGGCACACGACGAGAACTCCACTCGACAGTATTCTACCTGGCTGGGGTTCACCGTCCGTGAGGCAGACCAACACCATGACCATCGAGGTCACCACTGTATACCGATCGTGCGACGAGACGACACTCCGAAGGGGCAGGATGGCAACATCTTTCTTTGACATTATTTTGCATGGTCAGGACTCGCCGACACCGAGGCAGACCGAGGGTACAATCAAGGGGGCTACTTTACCTAGTCGGGGCTCACCGACCATAACGCAGGCGGGCGCCACAGGCAAGGGGGCCACTCGGCTGGTTGG